GAGAGGCTTCAAGAATATCTGGCTAGAACTAAAAAAGGAATGAGTGATCAATTGAAGAGGTTCCAAGATGAATCGATAGAGAAAATCTCCAAGTTAATGAGCATGATAGCTACAGATATCGAGGGAAAGAATCTGATAAAGGAGTTTGTTATACAAGTTGAAGAGAAGGATTTGTGAAGTAAGTCAAAATCCGAATGTGATAGTTAATGAGACATTGTTAAATATTCAAGAAATCGTTAAAGAGAAAAACATTACAAAATCAGTCCTAGAGAATGTTGTTGGAATAATGGTATAAATAACTCAATGAACAGAGGCATTGAAGAAGGCAATGTGTCACCTAAGAGGGTTAAGAGAAAGGAGAAAAAGATGCAAATAGTCTCAATCCCGATGTCATATTCTGACTTGTTACCCCATCTCTTCCATAATCACCTTTTGACACCAACCTCATTAAGATCTAACAGTTATTTACAACCATATTGGTATGGTATCAAATATTCCTGCAGATACCATTCTGTTGATTTCAATCGCATTATAGATGATAATGGATCATAAGGCAAATGTTTCAAAATCTTATAGCAGATGAATTACTATGCTTTGAAAATGGAAAATATGTGTTTCCCAAAAGCTCAACATCAGTTGAGGAACCTAGACATGTAGAAAAGGAAAAGGACCAGGCCCTCGAAAACCAGTCTCTTAATCTTTCATAACAAGCCAATCAGGGCTCGACACTACAAAATCAATCCTCAAAGCCTCATTTACCATAAGATGACATTTTGTTAGATTCTCGCAAGGACACTGATAATGACAAAGGAAAGTTGGAATCCAAGGTCCCCAGTTTGGACTTATTACTTTCTTATGCCATGAGGTATATGCTAAGTTGCTCGAAGCACGATTGATTGCGCCAAAACATGTCAAAATCGCCTCCCTATCCAAGACGGTATGATAAAAGTCCTCCCACTACAAATATCAATTTGGAATTCAATGACATTTCAATGAGAAATGTACCAACTTTAAGCGCTGAGTCCATAACCTTTTTTTATCATGGAGTTATAGAATTTGAGACTAAGAGTTAGCCCTCATGAGTCATGTATTGAAGATCAATCGCATGGAGGGTCACATATTAAAAAGCATGAAAGAGATAAAAGCAAAAAAAAAAAGACTCTTCGCCAGCATCCACCACAAAAATGTCTTGGGCCAACACAACCCTCAAGATGTTTCAAGTGCCTATTTCATAATTGCTTTCACATTTGATCAAAGGTCGATGCTTCGCTCATAAACCTTCAAGAGTATCGATTAGCTCATTTGCCTATGGCTATGATCCAAACAACATATGTGACTTTAACATGGGGGCATCTAGTCCCCTATTGGAAAATGTATATCCCTCATAGAGAAAATAGAGAATCTCTTTGCTAGCGGAGTGATAAATCATGAATTAATTGAGAAATGAGGTGAAAATTGAATGGAACATCCTGGGATGAGACAAGAAGAGATCATCGCTAACTCACCATGAAGTTATTCTACCTAAAGAAAAATGTCTTATTTTAATTATTTTTATATGCTTGAATGTTTTTATCATTAAATAAATGTCATTTATTTGACTACGAGCAATGAAGCATTTATCATTGACTTATCATCATACTTATACCTTTTACCCAAAGAAACGAAGGTAAAATTTCTCTCACACAATAAAGCCATCAAATGCTCAGGTAAGTATGGAAACGTACAAGATGGCGTATATTTGAAACATGACATTGTAAGACCAATTAGTATGTATATTTGTTAAGGACATTCAGTGAAGATTACAATTTTCACAAATGGAATAGATAGAATTAGCTTAGGTTAATTACTTGGAAATTGAACTCTAAAGATGAAATTTCATGACCTTCAATGACACTCAGACTATAACAGGTTCTTCTTGATGAGCTTAAGAAATCTTGAAATAAAAAACTCAGGGAAATAATGTGGTATTAATGCAAGGTAATTTTAATTTTGAAAGGGGGCACTCCGCTGAAAAGTAGTAAGCTGATAATCTTCATAGATAAGTCTAAAGCAGCTATGGAGATAAGTCCAAGCTTCATGAAGTGAGTTTCGTTCAAATTATAAAATCAAAGACTTTTTTTTACATTTGAATCCTTTAATCAGAATCCTCTAATTAGAGATATTCCGCTAAAGTAATGGGTCATGTAGAGAGCCCTAAGTTTATGAATAGGATTACATTCAGATCATGACACTAATAACTTTGTGTTGAGATGAATTTCCTTACAAAATCAAAGCAAAGATGAGTAAGGGTGAGCATTTGATCGAGTCGAGTAGTGTCGAGTATAAAAAATTTGAGTTATTCCAGTTAACAGCCATATTTTACAGCTCAAACTTAATTTAAAATTTTTTCGAATCCAGTCGAGTTTAAGAAATTCGAGTCAATTTGTTCGAGTTTCTCTACAAAATAATATTTTTTCATTAAACAATAAACCTCATTAAAACCCTTTTTCTTATCCAAGTCATGCCAAAGCAAAACCAAAGGCAGCGGAAGGAGGAAAAAGAGTACCCCAAAATATATTAATAACTAAATCGAACAATTACATAGTAGAGTTTAGAAAAACCAACACCACAAGATGATTAAAAAAAGCAAAGCGAAGATAGTCTAAAAAGTCAATTACAATAAACTACTTCTTGAGTTCTCAAATTACATTTTTGAAAACCTTAGATTTCCTCCTCTTCTTCGTGCACCGTCGGTAACTTTAAAGGTGTTCACTATTTGGTTTTAACCAAATTAATCAACCAAACCGAAATAGTTTGGTTAATTCAGTCGGCCACCAAATTAGTTCGGCCGGGGAAAGTTAATTTTTTTCAATATTCAGTTAATGGTTGATTCAGTTCAAAATCGATTAATTAACTAAATTAACCGATTTAACTAATTATTAAATTATATATTATATTATATATATCTATATTTCAAGCTTAAGCCCATTAAGAATTAAGATCCAATTATTTTTTAACCACACTAAATTCATTAAATTGTCAATATTTAATTAAATTTCAACCCAAATAAAAATATCTCAATTAATCTAAAAAAAATATAAATAATTTTAGTTAATTTGGTTAACCGACTGAAATAATCAAACTTTGTTCAGTTCGGTTAATATTTACAAAAGTTCGATTCGGTTAATGGTTAAAGAAAAAGGTTCGATTAATTTGGTTAATGGTAATTTGGTTTTGTCGATGACCGAATTAATCGTTTGAACACCCTTAGGTAACTTTGAAAAAGTTTCTTCTTTATCAACTATTCTTGATAAATCTAAAAAATTTAAAAACAAATATGTTAGTTAAATTATAAATAACTTTTGTAATATAAATGAAGTAAAAATATTAACATTATAAATCAAAATTAAATATTACCATCTTCTATGTCTTGAAGTTCTACAACATACTCATCAAGATTGATGGGATCCTTAGATTTCCGAAGCCAATCCTGAGTGCAAATCAAAGCTTCAACCATTTTCAGAGTTAATAAACTTCTAAAACCTAGAACACGTCCACATATGTTGAATGCACTTTCTGATGCAACTATAGAGAAAGGAATCGAGAAGAAATCTCAAGCCATTTGTTCAAGAACAGGGTATCTTGGATTACTCACTTTCCACCACAATAATATATCAAATGAACTCGAGTTGTTTCTATATTCTTCTCAGCCAAATATTTATCCAACTCAAATTTTTGTTCCAAACCAACTCGTTTCTTCTTCAACAGATATTGTTGCATGGCCAAACTCGCCTTTGATTGATGTAATTCCATAGGCATGGAAACGTTTTTCGAAATACTTGATTGACCTTCATGTCTTATAGTTTCCAATGATGAAAGAGTATTCATCAAACAAAAATGCAATTCTTTATCAATCATCTTCATAACCTCACTAGCAACATTAGGAAAAAAAACAAGTATACCTCAAAATTTACAAAGCCCATTTTACGTCTCAGATCTAAGATAATGGCTAAGTAAACTATAAAATTAATATTCTTAACATCAACTCAATATTTGTTGTACTTCTCCCTCATTTTTGAAGTCATGGAGATTATTTCCAAGTCCTCACACTTTATCCATCCATCAAGTAAACAATGCATGTCTATCAATGTTTCCTAAAAGAAATGGGAGGTGACATGTAATGATCCGTAAACCTTCAATGTAAGATCATAAAAAGGCTCAAGAACTTTTGCAATTCTTCAAAAAAAATTCCAATCATCAAATGTAGGGACTCTATCTCCAACTGTGTGATCGATAAAAAAGCTATTGTTATCACGAGCATATAAATCAAATGCATGCTCATATTTTTTAGCCACCTTCAGCATCATATACATTGAGTTCCACCTAATAAGCACACCTAAACGCAAATGAGATTTAATATCCATCATTTCTTCTTCTGCCCGATCATAGAATTTTTTATCCTTGATGGTGATACTTTTATATACCTCACAGTAGCTCTAACTCAATCAATAGACGCATAAGCATCCTTATCACCTTCTTACACGATGAAATTAATAACATGTGCAACACATCTCATATGCATATATTTTCCACTTGCAAAACAAGTATTTCAATGGTTCAATTTCTTTCTCAAATATTTAAACCAACACCATTAACATATGCATTATCAATTGTAATAGTGAAGATTCTTTGAATCCCCCAAGCTCGGATGCACTTTTCAAGGACTTGACCTATGTTTTCACCTCTATGAGTAGATATCAGAAAGAAGTTTATGATTTTCTTTTGCAACATTCATTTATCATCTATCTAATGCGTCGTTAGAACCATGTAATATACCCTTTGCAGTGAAGTCCAAGTGTCATTTGTCAAACAAATTCTACTTGTATCTTTCTCAAAAGCATTCTTCATTAGCCTTTTCATGGAGTTGAACAAATCGAGACAATCCCTTCTAATTTTAAAATGAGAAGGGAGATGAAACCTTGGGCATGTTAGAGAAAAAAATGAATTAAATTCTTCTCCTTTATAATTCCAAAAGGTAGCTCACCCACGATTATCATGTGAATCAACGCCTTTCTAATAGCATATTCTTCAAACTTTCAAGTTGAAAGTTTTGTCGCTTCATTTTCAAGGTCAGTTTGAAGTATTGCTATTTCTAATTGTTTAGAATCTAAATTATTTCCTCGAGGGGTTTTTAAGCATGTCTTCAAATGATTATTCACATTGGTTGTAAAACCTCTGGTTTCTATGCAGTAAGTCGTGCCATAATAATTGCATTTTGTCCTATTCTCCCTATCTTCAGTTACATTTTTTTTTTAAATGGTTCCAACCTGTTGCTCTTAGTTTTTATTTCTTTCGAGCACTTTTAGTACTCGTTGGATCATTGACTTTACATGTAGAAGAACTTTGTGAACTTTGAGTTGACTATAATCATATGGTTGTGAGCTTTGAGTCTTCTGTGATCCACTCCTATGCAATATCAAAAATATAATATATTAATATTTCTATTTTTAAACTATAAAACAAGGCATACTTTAAAGGTATTTATTTGTTTAAACATTTGAAATTTAACAAAACAATAATCATTAAATACATCTACTACTGTAATCAATTTAAATATATGTGATACTATGTTAAACATGTTAAATTCTTTGAGAAATTCTTGACTTAAACGAACTATTTAACAAAGGAAAATATTGCGCAACTCGATAAAAAAACAAAGCAAAAAGATCGAACCTGATTTGGGTGCTTAAAGTCGAAATCCGTAATTGATTTGAGGATTTTGTTGTGATGCTAAAGAACTGGTGTTGCTGCCTACTGGTGACTAGAAATCAGTGATAATGACTGAAAATCAGTGTTAACTGATTTGGGAATCATGAAACGAAATTGGTTCTGTCGATGAGTGCTAGGGATTTGATTTTTAAATACGCGTGGGTGCTGCTGGCTGTTTAGGTTCTTTGTGAGGGAATTAAAAAAATTAAGATAAATGACTAAACGACGTAATCTTGAAATATTTAAACCTATATATCTAAACGATGTCATTTTGAATTTCAATTTTTCAGTTATTCCAGTTGGCAAAATTTGAATTCGACTAGAACTCAAATCGAATCAATAATTCGAGTTAACTCGAATAACTCGAACTTGAAAAAATCAATTTTTTGAACCGATTCGAGTTTTGCTCATTCCTATAGATGAGAACACCAAATTTAATTAAGTATAATATAAAAAGGCAGTAAGGCCTAAAGTTTGCGTTAAGAATGAGTTTCGATGGAAGGTAGACTAAGGGAGTTAATATACATATATTATAGTCGACTCAAAAGTACTCAGAAATTTTACTTTTAGATTGATACTTTTGCACCGTCTCTACTTAAGAAATATATAAGACTTGAACAAGTGAAAGATTTTTAAGAAATGAAGCAAAAATATTCTCTAATAAGTCTAACTGTTGAATGTACTAGTTGCACTATTATGTCCACATCCTATTTGAAGATCATGCCAGAATAGTGGGACATTTCAAAAGAGTTTACAAGTACTATGAATTGATGGACATCTTGATAATGAAAAAACAGAAAAAGAACAGACAAAATCAAACCAGATTGTCTTCCCAAATTAACTTATTGATCTTAACACTTGTCAGAAGGCTATAATTTTTTAAAACAAAATGTGTGATTTATTTATTTGATAGTGAATTGATATTTTGCTTTAATTTTAAGTTTAAATGAGCATTATTGTGTTATATAAATATTTACATTGAACTGTAATTTTTGAAAACAAAATGTGTGATTTATTTATTTGATATTCAGTGAATTGATATTTTGCTTCAATTTTAAGTTTAAATGAGCATTATTGTGTTATATAAATATTTACATTGAACTTTTCAATACTTCGAAGAAAATACATATTTCAAGCAAGACATATTTTATCAAAGTGAGGCAGCTTTGAAATCTTTCACTCTTCCATCAAAGTGTCTCCCGATGTGGTTTCACCCAACATTGGACGCAAAAAAAGAAGACGACCGCATAAATCATCATAATAAAGTGAACTTCACAACATTGAGTCAATTGAAAAGAATTTTGTACGTGACAAAAAGGGAAACCTACTCACGAGATGAACTTGAAGATGCTACATCTAAATGCAAACCTTGATGGTTATGCTAAGCATAAAATGATCACATAAAATGATCACATCAAACCTTTAAAGTAGAGAGTAACTTTACTAAAAAGGTTTCATGCAAACCACCTGAGAACTTAGAAGGAGCATCTAAGGTGTTTGACGTCATTTTAAGGCAATTGGGATGCCTACTAATTTATTGATTTTTTCTTCCATACAAATATCAGATGAGATATCCCATGTGGAAGGAGTTTCCATTCAAATTTCAAAGCCTTCAAAGGATGTCCTTAGCCTGACGCGGATCCTCAATGAAATCTTAGGTTATCAAATTACTAAATATCCTTGAAAACAAGGCTGAGTGAGTGTCTCTGGATGTGAAAATAAGTCAGTCCATACGACTAAGAGTAGCAATTCCATATAATTTACAATGATTGCGTCAGTATTGGGGCGCGATTGGCTTCAATAAACATGATCGATGGAAAATCGAGATTTCTCTTTGAAAATACCAAAAATTGTAACATTTGCATTTTAGGCATACATGAGGATATTACATTCATGAAATCACATACATATATATACAATTTTGCATATTGTTAGAGAAAATTTCAATTTCTTAACGATGGATATTGAAATCGAAGTACACTCGGGATCGACTTAACTCGTAATGAAGGAGTCATTCAAATCGTAGCTTAACTCAACGATGAGGAGTTATATCTCAATCAATTTGACATACAGAAGATCGAAGGATCGTTGAGCCAATTTCAACTTCACGAAAAATATTGAGCTCGAAAGACACCTAAGAATAACTTAACTCGTAATGGATGAGTCGTCTACAATATAGCTTAACTCAACAACAAGAATCAATTTTCCAACCAAGGTCTTCAAGTCCAATTTCAAATTCACGTCAAAGGATATTTGACTAGAAGAAGACCCAAGATCGACTACGATTTAGCTTAACGACGATGAGCTACTTCTCAACCCAGATTCCGAGTAAGATTTCAACTTCACGACGAAAGATATCAAACTTGAGTCATACAAGACTGGCTTAACTCGTAATGAAAGAGTCCTCAACAACATAACAACTCAATAGCGAGGAGTTATATTCCAACCAACTTAACCCACAGAAGGTCGACATATTTGAACCCCTCTACTGTATCTATATAAGACACCTGTAAAAACGTTAAAGGGATCAAGTTTTTGAAAGCACCAAAACCACAAAGAAAGAAAGAAAAATGAGACTTAGTGTGGGTTCTTCACTACCGAGGAGAGATCGTACCACTCCTGAAAGTCACCGGAAACCAAAAAGTCACCATCGGAAAAGGTAAACCCAAGAGCTTAGTTTGATGGATCTAGGACACGATCTCGGGATATCGAGAGGAGTGATTTGGGGTATTTTTAGGATTTTGGGCATCGTAAGTGGTGGTCGGAGCGACGGACGAAATGGTGGTCTGGGCAAAGGGACTTCATCATAGCGTGGCCGATTTTTTTGAGAAGAGAAGAGGACACGAGCATAATTAAGAAAATTTTAAATTATTTCCACAAACCTTACACTTTTGATGTGTAATTCGTTTTAGTCCCCTACTTTAATAATATTGATTTTCTTGTAATTCGAACCCCTCTATTTTCAATTTATTTACAATTTGATCAATGTTAAATTCGTTAATTATCTTTTCAAGTTTATTTTATTTATAAATTGGTACCCTGATTTTTTTGAAGTGGTGTATTATTTTAAATCAAATACTAAAAATTATTTTTTAGAATCGTTAAATTTTGAAACTTCTTCAGGGGTAAGTAATTCATATCAAATTTTTATTTAAATTTAAATTTTCATAATTATGACAATTGCGGTAATCATATTGGTACTGAAAGGGAAATTCAATGGTGTTTATCCTTCCTCGATTGTAATCAACTTCCAAATCAGACAACTCTCTAGTAAGATGCAGATTTTGTAAATTGGTAAAATTTAGATGTCTGATCTATCTAATTTGAAAAGGTCGATGACGACTCCATCATCCAATTCAAGTCGACATGTGAACCTGAGACCACCTGAAGGACCGTTGCGGCACATGCAATTTAAAATTAACTAAAAACAATTTAAATATGATCCTAAAATGCTAAAGTACAAGCTCAAGCCTAAATAAAAAGACTCTAAGTAGTAACTCTTTTGGAGAGTTATCACTTAGCCATTTTGTATTTCCCACATTTATATAAAAAAAAAACATAATTACTAAATTAAATTATTTATCTAATATTTTATAGTTTTTTATTAACATATAAACATGTTTATTCCTTAAAAAACATGTTTATACTATGTATTAGAAATAGAAGTCGAAATTAGAGTAGAATTATTAAAGGGAATCTAATCCAGTAAATAAACTATAGTGAACTTTCCCTATAAAGTATTCTGAAAAATGTACTGCCTTTGGTCCTTTACTCTTTGCAGCCTGCTAGATCTAAGCAAGTGTGTCGGTAGCTCTCCTCTCGCCACTTCACTCTTCAGCTCCAGCCGCCACTACTGTCTCCATCTCAAAACTGAACGAGAATGCCGCTAAACAAGCCCATGGCTGCAATTTCTCCTTCTCTGGTTCCATCTCTCTTGTTTGCTAGAATATCAGGCATCTTAGTTGCAGCTCTGGTCCTCTCTTGGGCTCTTCTTTTCAAGTCCAGCTTCCTCCCTCACTCTCCCGTTTCCTCCCAAGAAGACCCCATCTTGCTGTGAGTAAACATTATGTGCCAATCTCATCCATTCTCGACCAGAATTAGTTTACATTTCCTTATCTTTGCTCGCAGGTTCTTCACCCTTTGTTGATGGTTATCGGCTTCATTCTCATAAGTGGTGAAGGTATGCTACTATTGTCTATTGAAACTAAAAGTCTGGAAAAAAATGGTGATTTGGTGTGTTGGTTTCTTTTCAGCTATATTGGTACACAGATGGTTGCCTGTTTCGAGGAATTTGAAGAAAGGCGTGCATTTGTGGCTTCAAGGGGTGGCTTTAGGCTGCGGGGTTTTTGGGATTTGGACGAAGTTCCATGGGCAACAAGGCATTGTGGCTAATTTCTTGAGCCTGCATTCTTGGATGGGTTTGATCTGTATCAGCTTGTTTGGGGCTCAGGTTCTCTTCTTCAATCCCTTACTATCTTTTCTTTGAACAGTTTGACACTATTATAAGAAATATTTTTAACTCAAATTTTTTAAGATGAATAATATTTCCTTTTTACTATAATATCATTCAATAAATTTATTAGTATTTCCGGGATCTAGGTTGTCTACGCATTTAAAATTATCACATATTTTAAATTTTTTAATGTATTTTTTATTAAAATTTCATTTTGTATACTAAAATTTTATAAATTTAAATTCGTTCCTGACTTAAAATCATGTGTAGATCTCTACCTTTCAATAAGTAAATTTTATAGGGCAAGTTAATTATGCAGTAGAGTTACGGGAATCTGGGTTTCTATCACAATTCTCAAAGTTTTTGTCTTTTAAATGAGTAATGAGCGTATTTTACTGGTAACATTTTAAGAATAATTGAATGCCCAACGCCTCAAATACAATTATTGCGGTTTACGCATTATGTTGCTTTATTTTGTGGCAGTGGCCCCATATTCTATGACTCCATTAACAAGTTTCGATAACGTATTTTATGCTGAAATAATGTATTCTAGCGTTACACGTCATCACCCCTTCTGCTTTCTCTTTTAGCAATTTGCTAGAAGCGTTCTCTATTTCGATTAAATGATTAAGCTAGGCTTTTGGACGTTAGTATTAAGTGGTAACGCCCTAAGAATTGGTTTTGGTTTCTATGGTAAAAAAGAATTTCATTTATTTTAAAAAAACATATCTGAGCAGTTATATTTGCAGGATATATTTATATTATCAATAGGCTAAAAGAATTGATTTACAATGCAGTGGTTAATGGGTTTTCTAAGCTTTTGGCACCGGGGTGAGATGCGGACGACGAGAGCAAAGGTGTTGCCATGGCATATCTTCCTCGGTCTCTATACCTATGGCTTAGCGGTGATTACAGCGGAAACCGGGCTGCTGGAGAAATTGACGTTCTTGCAGAGCAGGAGGAATGGATCGAAACATTGTCCGGAGTCCATGATTGTTAATGGTTTAGGTCTGGGGCTAGTTCTCCTCTGTGGCATTGTCATATTGACGGCAGTTTCGCCCAAATACCATGTTGTTCAAACCAAACTTGCGTATTCATCAGACACCAAGTAGTTGTCGTCTTCATCCGAGAGAAATGAAATTAATGATTAGTGATCCAGAAAAAGAGTAAGTCATTCCTAGTGTGTATGTTATTTTGTATATATTGTAATGCATGGTGATTTGGGGAGGAACCTATTGTGTATTTTATTTTAGTTTTGTTTAGAATTCGATCAAAGTCAACTCCATCTGCTATTCGATAACAATAATTTTTAGTTCATCTCTTTCAACTTCCTAAATGTGAATTTGATATCGATTGTAACACCCAATTTATGGGCTAAATTTTAGGAATTATAAAGTATTAAATTTAAATTGATATATTGGAAGAAATTTAAGATTAAATTGTAAAATTTTAAAGTTGACAGATCATTTTATAAAGTATAGGAAATTTAGTGACTAAACTCATAATTTAGCCATTTTCCTTTATGAGAGAATTATAATTCTCTTCCCCCTATTGTTTTCTTCCGAATTTCCTATTTTGCTCCTCCCGTCAACCCACTTTAAGCTCTGATCTACTCATCGTCTGGCCACCGTTCAACGAACTGAAACTACCATCGTGTTTGTTGTCGACCGATGAACAAAACCCCCTGAACCTTTCGTCGTTAATCGACGTAGTTTGTCGTAAATTTCAACCAGAAGTATCGTCGGTTTTAACTCAATCTCCGTTGGTTTTTCGTCGATTCACTTCGATCCGGCCACCCATTTTTGACACCTCCCACACCATCGTTTTACTTGCATCGTTCTAAGTCCACCAGTGTCCTCCGTGTCTCTGTCGTCGCGGTGAGTAGAGGGGTATGAAAGTCAAAGCTTCCAACGTTTCAGAATCGAGCTCTCAGCCGTTCAAAATTGTGAACCAAGCTTGGTAAGTGTCTCAAAATGTCATATAATATTTTTTTAGAAATATTTCGGACACCGTAGCACTGTTCACGCGCCACCCCTGCGAGTGGGCTTCGTTTAGCAGGTTGGTGAACAGTTGAGCCTAGCCACTGAGCCGACCCGAGCCGCTGAGCCGAGCTATTGAGTCGAGCCAAGCCGATTGAGTCAACCTGCGCTGAGTTAACTCGATTGAGTCAACTCACTAGGTCAACTCGTTGACTTTGACCGAGTCAACCCGTTGACCGTTGATTGTTGACTTTGACCGAGTCACCCGTTGACTGATGACTTTGATCGAGTCAACCCGTTGACCGTTGACTTTAACTTTGACCAAAAAGCCAAAAATTTGTAAAAGTCATATTTTATGTTTACTGACATCCTGAGTTCGATTCCGCAGTCCGTTTTGCCAAATTTGGGCCTGAAAGCCTCGAAATTGTCAGTCAAACTTGTTGACTTTGACCAAAAAGTCAAAATCTTCGAAAAATTGTATTTTATGTTTTTTGATGTCCTGAATCCGAATCCGAATCTAAAGTCTGATTTGTCAAATTCAAACCCAGTAAGCTGTTTTTGACTATTTATCACTCGATTCGATCCGTTTTTCACAATTAAGCTCCGTTTTTCATAATTAAGCTCCATTTTTAATGACATTTCTGTTGATATGTAACAAAGGAATTATTGAAAGTTGATTTCAAGATCGAGGACGTTCGAATGGAGTTTAAATGGTCGATCAGTATGGCATAAAAATCGAGGTAATACATTACTACCTCTTTATGTTTTATAGAACATGTTGATAATGAATAAATGCATTAATGTATATGATTGGTCTATTATGCCTGTTTGATTATAGATGGATTCGAACTGAATATGGTATAAGTGATAAATTAGTTAAGACTATTGAATTACAAGTTATGTGATTTCGTGATAAAGGAATCAGTCCTGAATATGTAAATTATAATTTATCTCATTAAAGGTACTTGGATGATAAATTATGAGAATACTTTGACTAGGTAAAATTACGAAAATACCTTATGTTGTAAAAAGACAATAATTGACCCTGGAAGTTGGATAAGAAGTTTTTAAAGATGTATTGACTGATGAAACTACTGATGTGTATAGAAAATATTATTTTTGCTTAGGAAATCTGGATAACTGATTTCTAAACCCAAGATGGCTTGTACAAGATACTATAAGTTTGATAAGGAATAATTTATCTGAGAAGGCAGTTGACATGAAAATCTTCAAGTTAAGAGTATATACTTGAAGAAAATCTCCGATATTAAGAAGTGGAAATTAGTGAGATAAATCAACCACGAATACCAAAATGATTTTTGTATATGACCAAAGTGAACTGAATGGAAGTACAATATGTATCCGAAACTCAAAAAAGTCTGAATTACTCTAGAAAACCCTAAAGTAACCGAGATAGACATGATTTCTAAATGAATTAAGTAATCTTAAGGACGGAGAATTTAGTAAGTGATTGGATGAGTCTGGGAATACCAACGAACTTGTATGATGTATGGTCCCATGGGTTATGAACCAAGAATAAAATACGTCATCAATTCTTGATATTGTTGTATGTGGAAATAAAGTAAAGATTATTGGGATACCTGTTTGATTCCTTAAGGTATATTCGGTGATGATTCTGAAGATGATCTATGGACAAAAATTATTGGTATTATAGAGTGAATACCATGAAAGACAATGAATTAACTAGTTGACAGGAATCAGTTATGAGAGTTGTTCAACTTAAGTTGTTCGATAATCCGATCGATTGACATGGATAGTATTTTCCCTGAATATTTGTTTAATTCTTTATCAACTCAATCACTCCGATCATTCCAAAATGCTTTCTTGATGCACATGAAAACATAGTGGGATTCTAAAATATCATCCGTAAATGTCTGATTAGATAGGTTAGTAATCAATTCTCTTCAATAGGATCTTGTTCCTGGAATCCGATCAAATTGCACAAGTTTCATGTTATCCATACTGATAACTACAAAATGCATCTGACAAATACTTGGATTCTCTAGTGTGTTCCCTATATATTAATACATTGTTTTATTATTTTAACATGTGGTACACTGAAATCTATGGTTACTGTTTTATGGATGCACCGACTTAATGGTGATGCTTATGGAATTGTATCATTGTACAAATCGTATCTTGGAGATACAGATTTGTAAAGAATAGCTCTGATCAAACTGGAAAATTTTTATAGACCTAATGTGACTCTTAAGTCGGCTCTACGGCCTTGAGATCATTCTCGGGTAGGCCCTGCAGCCCTAAGATGTGTTCTTAGGTAGGCCCCTTAGCCCCGAAACTTTCTTGGGTACGCTCGCAGGCCCTAAGATGTTCCCTTAGGTTAACTCTTTATACAATGGTTTTAAACTACGAGTTTTAAAAGCTCCATTACAGTATGATTTATGAGATTTACTGAACTATCATTTGATTACTACCTATTATGATTTTATCGTATTGTTTGAACACACTAGACATCTTAGTCGATCTCCTGAAAACGTGATACTATGAATGCTTCCTGTGAACTGAGATATTCATGGCTTCTATTCGATGAACTACCAGTGGTACCCCATATTATCTCAGAAATTGGTATACAGTTGATTCAATAAGGAAATTATATGGCTCTTCATTTATCTGCATGTCATGTATCAACTGGTAGTGTTGTATTACTGAGCTTCCCAAAGCTTACTATGTTACTCACCTTTTCAGGTTAAAGGAATTGTACCAGTGCTTCTATCGACATCAATAAGGGAGTTCTTACGGCGTTGCTTGTAGAGAATGGTACATGTGATTAGGGGGCATGTAATTGTGTTTTGTTTTACATACAAGTTTGAAAATTTGTTTTATTTCTGCATACTGATAAATCATTTTATGAGTTACATGTTTTAAATAAAAGTTTTAAATTTTCTATGGTTTTTATAGTGGGTTGCTCCGGTGGCCCTAGTGTGACACTCCAGATCGGATCGGGTTATCCACATCGGTCTGAGGAGGTTACATTTAGTGGTATCATAGCTATGGTTGAGTCAAAAAATTTTAAGATAGACCGGACGGTCAAATTTCAAAAAGATGTATAATCAGTACATGCCCCTAGACTATAATTATACTTCTCTGAGCCGGAACTCCAAGGTTGAGTTCATATCTGTAATGAGCAAACCTAAGTTTTCATCTGTTAGGACTATATCATTTTATAAATGAATACCAGTAACGTCTGTCTAAATTCTGTAAAGTACCACACGATCCATGTGGGAGTTACTCATCTGAGAAATTCTGACCTGACTCCGGAAATGAAATTAGGATATGTTATCGCTCTATGAGTTTATTTTCGTAACCAAAGCTGAATTGATTTCACAAGGATAAATATGTTCTGATTATTTTATTGGACTGAGGGAGAGTTCTAATGAGACTGTATACTCAGCTGGTTAAGAATTAGTAGAGGACACATACTTTTGTAAAAGCTACTTGAAGATATGAAAGAACTAATGGAAGTTTCATTTCTGCAATTATGTGACATTAAAGAATTTCGAGAACGAAATTTTTAAGGTGGAAAGAATTGTAACACCCCAATTTAGGGGCTAAATTTTAGGAATTATAAAGTATTAAATTTAAATTGGTATTTTGGAAGAAATTGACGATTAAATTGTAAAATTTCAAAGTTGGCAGACCATTTTATAAAGTGCAAGAAATTCAATGACTAAACTCATAATTTAGTCATTTTCCTTTATGAGAGAATTATAAGTTCTCTTCCCCTGATTGTTTTCTACAGAATTTCCTCATTTTCCTCCTCCAGTCAACCCACTTTGAGCTCCGATCTACTCACCGTCCGGCCACCGTTCGACGAACCGAAACTACCCTCGTGTTCGTCGTCAACCGATGAACAAAAACCCTAAATCATTCATCATGAATTGACATCATTTGTCGTAAATTTCAACCGGAAGTGTTGTCGGTTTTAACTCAATCTCCGTTAGTTTTTTGTCGATTCACTTCAATCCGGTCACCCGTTTTTGACACCTCCCACACCATCGTGGTCCTTGCATCGTTCCGAGTCCACCGGTGTCCTCCGTGTCTCCATCGTCACCGGCGAGTGGAGGGTGAGAAAGTCAAAGCATCCAACGTTTCAGAATTGAGCTCTCCGCAGTTCAAAATTGTGAATCGAGCTTGGTAAGTGTCTCAAAATGCCATATAATATTTTTTAGAAATTTTTCCGGATTTTTCGGACATCGTAGCACTATTTACGCGCCACCCCTGCGAGTGGACTTTATCTGGCAGGTTGGTGAACAGTTGAGCCGAGCTGAGCCGAGCCGAACCGAGCCGCTGAGTCAACCTGCGCTGAGTTAACTCGACTGAGTCAACTCACTAGGTCAACTCGTTGACTTTGACCGATTCAACCCGTTGACTGATGACTTTGACCGAGTCAACCCGTTAACTTCAACTTTGACCAGAAGTCAAAAATTTTGAAAAGTCAACTTTTATGTTTTTCGACATCCTGAATTCGAAGTTGTTTTGTCAAAATCAAACTCGTTAAGCTGTTTTTGACTGATTTATCACTCGATTGATCCGTTTTTCACAATTAATCTCTGTTTTTAATGAAATTTATTTTGATATGTATCCGAGGAATTATTGAAAGTTGATTTCAAGATCGAGGACGTTCAAATGGAGTTTAAATGGTCGATCAGTATGGCACGAAAATCGAGGTAATACATTACTACCTCTTTATGTTTTATGGAACATGTTGATAATGAATAAATGCATGAATGTATATGATTGGTCTATTATGCATGTTTGATTATAGATGGATTCGAACTGAATACGGTATAAGTGATAAATTAGTTAAGACTATTAAATTACAAGTTCTGTGATTTCGTGATAAAGGAATCAGTCCTGAATATGTAAATTACATTTTATCTCATTAAAGGTACTTGGATGATAAATTATGAGAATACTTCGACTAGGTAAAATTATGAAAATACCCTTATGTTGTAAAAAGACAAGAATTGACCCTGGAAGTTAGATAAAAAGTTTTTAAAGACGTATTGATCTGATGAAATCTGAATAACCGATTTCTAAACCCAAGATGGCTTGTACAAGATACTAGAAGTTTGATAAGGAATAATTTAAAGTTTAGAGATTATCCGAGAAAGCGATTAACCCTAGAAATCTCTAAATTATAATTATCATTGTTAAGAGTTTTAATATCGAAATTATCTGGTTAAGAAATTATAAAATTCCCTTGAGAGGTAAAAATAATTCGAGTTGACCCTGAATGAGAAAGTACTTTAAGGATTCGTACTTAACTCGATAAATTACATATTTAATTATTAAGATTCTGTCTTTATATAGAAAATTTCTGATAACATGTTTGTAACATCTAAGAAGGCAGTTAACCTGAAAATCTCCAAGTTAAGAGTATATACTTGAAGAATAAATTATTGGGGGTGCTTCTTTATAAGAATTGTTTGAAATAACTGGAATAGATGATAAGTTTAAATTAAGTACTAAGATCGGACGGAAGGAAAGGATTTAAATACCGTGAATCTGTAAAATGACCTGAATACCCCTAGAATGCAGATGACCAAGAATATCACCAAGTTCAGGAATGATTGGATATCCTCAAGCTCTTAAATGAATGGAATAAAAATGAGCATCGAAATGACCAAAATACCCTTATGGCATAGAATAAGTAAATGCCTTGGATTAATTAAGAAATCCAAATAAACATGGATGTTGTATTACTCTTAAAAGTTATGGAACGCAGCTTAAGTCGGTCAACCAACGCTAGTGCTATATAAGTACCTGAATGGCATAGGTACCACTTGAATGCTTGTTCGTCTCCTCAAGTTTGGATTGATGATAATTATGGAAGTATTCAGCTCAATGCTAGAGCGCATTCAATATTAAGAAGTGGATATTAGTGAGATAAATCAACCTTGAATACCAAAATGATTTTTGTATATGACCAAAGTGAACTGAATGGAAGTACAACATGTATCTGAAACTCAAAAACGTCTGAATTACTCTGGAAAACTCTAAAGTAACCGAGATAGACATGATTGCTAAATGAATTAAGTAACCTTAAGGACAGAGAATTTAGTAAATGATTGGATGAATCTGGGAATACCAACGAACATGTATGATGTACGGTCCTATGGGTTATGAACCAAGAATCTAATATGTCATCAATTCTTGATATTGTTGTAATGTGGAAATGAAGTAAAGATTATTGGGATAGTTGTTCGATTCCTTAAGGTATATTCGGTGATGATTCTGAAGATGATCTATGGAGAAGAATTGTTGGTATTATAGAGTGAATACCAGGAAAGACAATGAATTAACTAGTTGACAGGCATCTGTTATGAGAGTTGTTCCGCTCAAGTTGTTCGATAATCTGATCGATTAATATGGATGGTATTTGCCGTGAACATTCGTTTAATTCTTTATCAACTCAATCACTCCGGTAATTCCTGAACGCTTTCCTGATGCATATGAAAACATAGTGGGATTCTAAAATATCATCCCTAAATGTATGATTAGATCGGTTAGTAATCGATTCTCTTTAATATGATCTTGTTCCTAGAATCCGATCAAATTGCACAAGTTTCATGTTATCCATATTGACAACTACAAAATGCCTCTGAAAAATACTTGGATTCTCTAGTGTGTTCCCTATATATTAATACATTATTTTATTATTTTAACATGTGGTACACTGAAATCTATGGTTACTATTTTATGGATGCACCGACTTAATGGTGATGGCTTATGGAATTGTATCACTGTATAAATTGTATCTTGGAGATACAGATTTGTAAAGTATAGCTCTGATCAAGCTGGAAAATTTTTATGGACCAAATGTGACTCTTAGGTAGGCTCTGCAGCCCTGAGATCATTCTCGGGTAGGCCCTGCGGCCCTAAGATGTATTCTTAGATGGGCCCCATGGCCCCAAAACTTTCTTGAATAGCCTCTCAGGCCCTAAGATGTTCCCTTAGTTAACTCTTTATACAATGGTTTTAAACTACGAGTTTTAAAAGCTCCACTACAGTATGATTTATGAGATTTACTGAACTATCATTTGATTACTGTGCCTATTATGATTTTATCGTACTGTTGGAACACACTAGACATCCTAGTCGATCTCCTGAAAACTTGATACTATGAATGCTTCCTGTGAACTGAGATTTTCATGGCTTTTATTCGATGAACTACCAGTGGTACCCCAGATTATCTTGGAAATTGGTATACGTTTGATTCAATAAGGAAATTATATGGCTCTTCATTTATCTGCATGTCATGTAGCATCAACTGGTAGTATTATTTGAGCTTCCCAAAACTCACTCTGTTACTCACTTTTTCAGGTTAAAGGAATTGTACCAGTGCATCTATCGACATCAATAAGGGAGTTCTTCTGGCGTTGCTTGTAGAGAATGGTACATGTGATTAGGGGGCATGTAATTGTGTTTTATTTTACATACGAGTTTGAAAATTTGTTTTATTTCTGCATACTGATAAATCATTTTATGAGTTACAAGTTTTAAATAAAAGTTTTAAATTTTCTGAGATTTTTACAGTGGGTCGTTCCGATGGCCCTAATGTGACACTCTAGATCGGATCGAGTTATCCGCATCGGTCTGAGGGGCTTACATCGATAAACTTCAAATTAACATGAATTCCAACAAACATCGCATACCTTCAAATTAACAGATTAGTATGAACCTATTTCAATTCACGTTAAAAGCAAAAAATTGAGAATAAAACTATAAATTGGTAACTTTTACCAACTTAGTCGTTTAACACTTTGTCCATGTTAATCTAAAAATTTATTAGTTTTTTCTTAATTTAATCACTAAGCTTAAATTTTATTAATGGTAATGATCACATCATGAATCGAAATTAAAACGCATAAAAACTGATTTTTAATATATATATATTTCAAGCGCTGTTACGCCCTTTGGGTTTTGCCCCTTTCCGTAATCCTCAAATCCGTCAATGAGAGTTCATTAAAATGGTGATTTTCATTTGAGTTTTATAAATTTTTCTACTGAATTCAAAAAATATAAGATTTGGTCATTTTTGGTTTGTTTTAATTAAGATTTGGTCACTTTATTTGTTTTAATTATGATATGGTCACTTAAGATTAATAGTCATTAAACCTTTAACGGTTTGCTGACGTGACACGATAAATATATAAAATTAAAATTACATTATTTTCACGTAGATATTGTATGGATTAAGTTTTGATCACTTTCCTTTCATATTTGTACACTTTTTCTCTAGTACTAAGTGAATGCCAATTTGATCTTCATAAATGTCATGCAAATCGATCACGTTCGGATGCGATCGAAATTTAATAAAACGATAACGTAAATGACAAAAAATTATGTTTTTTAAAAAAAATAGTGAGAAAAAGTGATCAAATATGAAAGGAAAGTGACCAAAACTTAATCCATGTATTATCTACGTGGAAATGATGTAATTTTAATTTTATATATTTATCGTGTCACGTCAGCAAACCGTTAAAGGTTTAATGGCTGGTAATCTTTAGTGGCCACATCTTAATTAAAACGAAAGAAAGCGACCAAATCTTAATTAAAACAAAACGAAAGTGATCAAATCTTATGTTTTTAAATTCGATAAGGAAAAAATTATAAAACTCAAATGAAAGTAATAAATTATGTAGTTTACCCTAATAAAATAGATCAATTGATTTTTTTTCCCTTTTTGTACATATCAATTGATTTATTTTATAAGAGTTCAATAGATTTTCCAAATTTTCCGTAAAGAATTTATTTTAACATTTTAGTCCAAAAAAGTATTCTAGGACCAAGTTGAAAATGTTAAATTTGAAGATTAAATGCTATTTCGCGGTGTATATTTTGCTTCACAATTAATTTTTGTTGGAAGATTTTTTTCTCTCAAGATTTGGCATTAGTATGGTGATTAAAATTTGATTTGACTCATATTCTTTTTTTATTTTCTTTATATTTTGAGTTATTTAAATCAACTTAAATTTTAAGTTTGGATTTCAAGTTAAATTTGAATGATCGAAAAACTCAAAATTAAAATGTCTTCTAATCTTTATCTAATTAATCTTGTGTGTGATTTGGTCATTAATTTTATTTTTCTTTTTTCAATTTCTTTTTCATTTAAATTATTTTAATCACATTCTCATCAAATATCTAATAGTTTCAATCATTGCACGAACTGAATGAATTTAGTGATAAAGGAATTATTGTTATTTCTTGATATTTCAGCTTCGAACACTAGAGATATTAGGGGTATAAATATTTAATATCAAATGGTTGAGATTTATCTTTGAACAAATAACTAAATTTAACATTAAATTATGTTCTCAAATTTTATATATCATTTAATTTGATCTTGAACTGCAACTTTTATAAATTTTCTTTTCATATTAATTTTTAACTTTTTTTTATATTTGATCGATACTTTTTCTCAAAATTTATTCGTTTAGAAATAACACTATTAATATACTCATATATAGTTTTAAATAATATTTAATTTATTAAATAATATTGTAAATTTTATTTATATGTGCCAAATAGTATATAAAATTTATATATATATAATTATTGATGATATATTTAAATAAATATATTTAATTTAATATACATTTTAAAAAATTTAATCTATTAACAATGTACACACAAAAATTCTAAAGAAATCAACACTTTTTTATCATTAAAAGTTTTTAATGATTCTTCGAACAAAACTTAAATAGTAAAATAATATTAATAAATTAAACTAAATCGAGTAAGTAATTAGAAATGAATGGATAAGTAAGTAATAAGTTTTGAATAGGGGTTACATTGGCAGGGGAAAGACCGAAAACCATGGGGATTGAATCAACAGGGATGTGGAATAATCGAAATCTTTACCCATGGGGATAGGGATGGGGATGGGAGAAGTTTTATCCCCGAAGCTCAAATGGGGATGAGGACAGAGATTGTTATATCCGAACATTGGGGATAACTGAACCATACCCGTATGAATAACCATGGGGATCCCTGATATTTTACAAAAATAACCGTGGGGATCCTTGAAAAATATCTGTAAGATTACGTGTTACCACTGTGACATCTCAAATGAACTAAAATTGAAGTTTAGATCTTTTTCTCATTTAATATACATTGATTTGTTGAGATAAAAAATGGTTAAGATTGTACATAACATTAGGTGTTAGATGAATATTAATGTTTGAAACTTTCATATTATAGATAGACCAATTTGAGACAATCAGATATATCTTACAAGTTTTAGGTGTTGCATTAATTTTAAAAATGTTTGTTTATTTTTTGGGATAGGGATTAACTGAAACCCACAAGTATCCGTAAGGGATGGGTATGGGGAGAAAAAATTCTGAAACATAAAATGGGGATTCCCCAAAACCGAACTTGTAAGTGTTGGGGACGGAATAGGTAATGCAAAATCGTTCCCGCCCACCTTGCCCCGTTGCCACCCCTAGTTCTGAAGGGTAAATCCACGGAGTAGGCATAATTATTTGGCGTAATTGGTTTAATAACGCCAAGAGTTCATTTTTTTGGAACAATACCTAATTAGTGTTTTAAATAGTTAATATTTTATAGTTAATTTCTCTTTGTTCATTAGATTTTTTTATTTACTTGGGTATTTCTACTTGTTTTCCTATGCAGGACGCTGAATTATGGGAATTACACTTAAAAGACAAAGTTCTGCATTTTTTTCAAGAATCATGGGTGACCTAGTGGGCATGAAACCAGGCATGAAAGCGTTGACGTGGAATCCAATCAGCATCTTTTAGAAGGTCCAGCCAGCAATTGCGTGAAGATAGAAGACTCATCCGCAAATTCAAATTTAAATTTGGGATTTATCTTTATTATTATTATTATTATTTAATTTCAAGAATTATTTAGGATTTTTATTATTATTTTAGGGTTTTTCAAGAGAAATACCCAGCGAGGCAAGCATGAAAATATATCTCAGATTCATTTGTTATTTCTTTCTCTTGTTTTATAAAAAGTTCTTTCTTTTTCTTTATTTTTCTTTAAAGCTTTCTTTATTTTTAATAATGTTAAGTATAATTTCTATCATGCTTATCTAAGATTTTCATAGCCAAAGGCTGAAGCAATAACTAAATTCCTAACGTGAGAATTGAAAAGCACCTCATACCCTTCGGGTTAAATTTCTCAATTTTTTGGAAACTAGATTGAAAGGATGGTCTCTCTTAAAATCAAAACGCTTTCACTTCAAAAATAATTTTTGATTTAGATATTGTTATGGTTTATCGTTGGGATTATAGAAACAATTGATTTGAATTCCTTTGAACACACTTAGTGATAACACGCTAAGGGGAGAATGGGATCGAGTTTAACTTTCAAAGAGAAAGTATAATTCGAGTCGGGCTTTTCCAAGCGCTTTTAAATTGTTTTGAGTTAACAACGATAATCGTAGTTAATCCGAACAAGGATTGAGTTTTCTAAAATAGATTTGGAAAAATCAATAACCAAAGAGAAAAGTGAGCTACAAGAATTAAACCTTGCGGACTCAAACCAGGATTTAACTGGAGTAAAATCCTATTGAAGGAACGATTGGAATTTGAGGCAAAACAGAAGTCTAAGGTTGTTTTTAATCATATTGAATTTTTAATTTAAATTTCTTTTCTTTAATTCTTTTACTTTCTTTACAAATCTTTCTATCAACCACCTCATTTTTACTTTTACTTATTATTTTCGCCCAGTTCAAGAATCAAAAACAATCTACATCAGTATCTTATTTAATCCCTATAGATCGACCCTTACTCTCTCTATATATTATTTTCTATTTTTGAAATTAAGGATATTATTTGACATTAATACGGTATGTGTCAATAACCCATACAACTTTTTTTTGGAAAAATACGTTCAGACTACACACGTAGGACTACTTCACGTCCTAAAAAAGCGTTCTGTGTAATGCGAGGTTCTCAAGATATCGATAATTTATCGTGTTCAAAAATTTGAAATTTGAAAATATATTACACGACCTCACATCCTACAAAAGGCGAGGTCCTTTTGAATATGTGTCTTTTCAACATACCTCACTCCTTATATAACGCGAGTTTTTTTTACCTCACTTCAGGGGGTGCGAGGACTCCTATAAATAGGGCCCCTAAAACTGAATCCATCACACATTTCTCCCAAAATCTCTCTCTCACACATTTTCTCTCTTATATATTCCATTACGATTATTATGACGGGATTCTTGAGGCTTGATCGAAGGCATGTATTCGATTTTTGGTGGACAAATCTGGAGGTAACTTTTATTTATTTATTTTGAATTATTTATTTATTTATTTTAAATTATTTATTTATTTATTTCGAATAATTTATTTATTCATTCATTTATTTTGAATAATTATTTATTTAATTAAAGGGATATGAATGTTCGTTGACATATTATATCAATTGTTTGGCAAACCCTCATAAAGATATTCTTCTGTATTTACACGAAGCAGGTTTTAGTTACGTTAGCACTATAATTAGAACGTTGGAGACCTAGGACGCACACGTTTCATTTTCCTTGTGGGGAGGCGATTATTACCCTTGAAGATGTTGCATTCCATCTTGGACTGCCTGTTGACAGAACAACTATTACCGATATTGCCATGGGTACTAGGTCTACTTGTGTGAGGATCTGCTCGAACTTAAACCGATAGATAGCGATATGGATTGAGGAAATATCAAGATTAAATTTTTGGACGATAATTTTACACAACTAACCAACAATGTTGGTATAGTAATTAAGAAGGTAATTTTTGAATTTTATGTTTATTTATTTTATTTTTTATTTATAATATTGAAATTTTATTTTAGTTTATGTTATTGTAATTTTTTACGATAATTTTTTTAATTTATTCGCACTATTTTTATTTTACAACGATTTTCCCATGCTCATATTTTACGAGTTATTGGGTGGGTCTTGATGCCAATTAAATCCCGAAACAAAGTGCATCTAACGTGGTTGTATCATCTACGCGTTTTACGGGACTCTAAGTATAAGAGTGGGGATCGTAGTGTTGCCTTTTTGTTCCTGGAGCTATATAAAGTTGTTTATCTGGACAAACAAGTTATTTGAGGGTGTTTGATGTTACAATCGTGGGCTTGGTTGCAATTCCATTTTTACAGTCGATTCCTACACACCCTACCCTATTTGAATATTCACTACTTCGAAAGTAAAAAAAAATAAACTACATTTATATATTTAGATTATTATATAATTTTAGGGTTTTATAAATAATTATATTTTGTTATATCAATGATAGGTGAACTGATACTCTAACTCATGTCCACCTACCAACAACTCTGCGGGATTTTAGATTGTTGATCAATAAGATGACAGACGAGGTAATAATTGTAATCGATTTGATTTCTTGTAATTTAAAAATCATTTTTTTAATTCGAGTTTTTCTTAGTTTTAAAAAAATTTGTAGTTCATGTGGATGTCTTACAATGATGATACAATTGATCGTGTACTTTTACTGAAATAGGTCTCAATTTGGTGTTTGGATGTCGATGGCCTATTGATAGTCTATAAGGTAGTCAAGTGGCATCCTACCGATCGCGTGCTGTGACAATTTAATTGTGTCCAAATGATTCTGCTACCACCACCAGAATTCAATGCCTTGCATCACGTAATGCGACAGGGGAAGACATATGTTAATTAGAAGATGCATCATACGAAATGAGTGACACACTGGATAACGAGATTAAATAGATGACCCATTTTTCAATCCATCTTTGACTGCAGTGTTTCAAATGATTACATTTTGTGGTATGAACAATATGGGAAGCCATATATACAAACCGAAGAAGAA